GATGAGTTTGGAGTGGTATGAGTTGGCTGGAGACTGTGATGTCTTCAGGGAAATCAGTGCCAGATTGGCTGGAAATGGGCAAAACTTGTCCAGTTTTTAGTCAAACAGAGACCTGTGTTGATTAAAAAAAAATGACATAGAAAAGGCAGATCCCTTCAAAGGCTATATACAAGTCTTTGATTTTAATTTCAATTAAAAACAGTCTTTTACCATCTTACCTGCAGATTGTAGCTTATTTGGTCAAAAAAGAAACAAACAAATAATTTGAATGAGGAACAGGAAGACTGATTTCTGCAGACTCCTACTATATTAGAACAACTCCAGTCTAGAACAAATGAAGAGTTGTTGTCCAGAACAATTTGTGCTAAAGAGCACATCAAGATAAAACCTACAGTTTGAGTTCTAATTATAACAGAGCTCTTGCTGCAAATGTTTAAAAAGACTCTTCCATGCACATTTCACCATAAGTTAACTTCACCACAGAGCGTGAATCATCTGAGGGGCATGTTATTTAAATCCCATATATACAGGTTTCTGGAATTCCCTCCTTTCACCTCCACAACATAGATAAAATTATTAAGATTCAGTCCAGGAATGATGCTGAAAACTGGTCTGTATTATTTTTATATCAAGGTTGCAGTATTGTAATTTCTTACTATTTGGAAATCTACAAATTGCAGTTTAGAGCATTCACTGAAATTGCTGCTGATTAAAGTTAAAAGGAGATTGTATCTATTCTGCAGGACTGGCTTTCTATTAAATCAAAAATAGAATTTAAAACTGTCCCCTGACCCTTACTAATCAATCTCACAATATCAGATATCTTATTGAGTTCCCAACAGAGCAGTTTGCTCCCAGATTCATGTGTACTGGTGATTCTTAAGAGTTTTAAGTACCGGTATGAACTAGTTTACAGGCTCCTCTTGGTGAACCACATTCTTGTTCTAGTCCATGACCCAGGCACCCTGCGTACTTTAAAGACTGGGCTTAAAACCCTCCTTTTTGATTACATTAATAGTTAGAGTGGCTCAGGTTATCCCAAACTATCTCTGTAGTTATGCTGCTATTAGCTTAGACTACTGGAGGACATAGGGACCACTTTTTCTCTCTTTTTTTTTTTATTATTTATTACTATTATTGATTTAATTTTAAACATTGTGTTCTCTCTGTTTTTTTCTCTTTATAATAGCCACATCTGGCCTGTTTTTTTTAGTTGTGACAACGTACTGGAGAGTGCCATCTTTCAGTCGTTAAGTTTCTCTTCTAGACATACCTATTAGCTGAGCCTTGATTGTCTGTGTGGCCCCTCTTTTGTGTTCTAGGCTTATATACTGACTGAAAGCTGTTCTTTTTAGCTTTTTCTCTCTAAGATGAAAGCACTAAAAGAACTACTACTGCTAAGTATCCTTTTGCTTTTCTCTAACAAAGAGTATTTTTTGATCAGTGCTTCTGTGTCCCTTTTGTGCATTTACTATGTCCACTCAAACCCCCAGTCGATGATGGCAGATGGTTGTTCACGCTGAGCCTGGTCCCGCCGAGGGTTTCCTCTCCATTGTTGCTGCTCTTTAAGAGGTATTGCTACAGAGTCAACAACCCAATTATTGCAACTATCTATTGCTGCTGATTATGCTGTTTCAGCAAAAGGGACATTTCTAACTTTGATTTGACGTGATCTGCTGGGTTTCCTTGGATAGAAAACTTTAACCAATACATCTGTAGGATCTCATAGAATCTACTTTCTAAATTGTCTTAAAAGGACATGTAAATTGGCGCTATATGAATAAGTTAAATTCAAGTCCTTATTGGGCTGGTAAAGTCTTTGCATTTTAAAAGACAAAAAAGAGGTATGTCTGGTTTTTCCCCATGAACCGGTTTTTAAAAAGGAAAAGGTTCTAAATAAAATATTGGCTAAAATTTTTTACAAATAGTTTTTTAATGACAACTTGGCAAACTGACCAACAGTTTCTGAAAACAAGGCAAGAATATTATGGAGAAAGTTGATGGTGAAAAAAAATCTCTCCATTTTCAATTAAGCTGAGAACTAAAATTGGTAAATCCTAATTGCAAGAAGCCTAAATGTTTTCAATTTCCACAACAATTCAGTTCATAGCAGCAATTATCTGCAGCAGCAAAAGTCTCCACTCATTAATTGCTCTGCACACAAAAGGTCCAACAGATGGGTAAAAAAAAGGATATATCTGTTTTTAAGGTAATGTTCAATGTTGATTTTATTGTCACAATGTTTGGAAATTTCTATTTCAGTCAGCACATTATATTTTCCTCTTACATCAGTATAAATAAATTAAAAAAATCCATCCAAATGTGGAATATCCTTGCAATAATATATAAAAGTTATTTATAGACTATAAATTTAACCACCCATTTTTAAAAGAAATAGGTTTTTTCTTTTCTTTTTACGACCGTTGTCCAAACAAATTGAAATAAAGCCTCTTTCCCTTTAAAGACTAATTAAAAAAAGCGATAGGTACTGTTTTTTTTCTTTATTTTTCTTTCAACATGACACATTTCAGTATTAGAAACTTCTTACTATTCAATTCAGTTTCAATTTATTTTATTTATATAGCACCGAATCACAAAACATTGTCATCTCAAGGCACTTTACAGTTCACCAGATCATACAGTCAAATTGATTCAAAGTTTTCTATCCAAGGAAAACCAGGTAATTGCATTGACTCAAATACAATCCCTCACACTAAGCATGCTTGTAGCGATAGTGGAGAGGAAAAACTCCCTTTTAACAGGAAGAAACCTCAAGCAAAACCAGGCTCAGTGTGAGCGGCCATCTGCTAAGGCCGACTGGGGTTTACTTGTCATGGTCAACTTATTATAAAGATCATTAAACAAAGCGGCAAATATTTAAAGGAACATTAATTTCACTAATTAAATTTAAAAAGGGAAACTAAATCATATATAGATTCATTACATATGAGACAATATATATCCAATGTTTGTTTCTGTAATTTTAAAGGTTATAGATTCTGTCTGGAATTGACAGGAACAACCACACCATCAAGGTATGGTACTGATACCCAAAAAAATGGATTTTAATTAAACATTTCTTAAATGAAATGTTCGATTTAAAATACATGTTTCAATTAAGACTTCCCCTTTTGTATTAGAAGGCTGAAATAAAAGCAGTGATTTAAGGCTGTTAAATGATAATGTGGTGCACCTGCTCCCTTTTAGTTCCATAAATGTCAAAAAGCAAACCACTGGACTTTGTTTTCCAAGTTTGAAGATGTTGCGCTTCCCATCCAGGAAGCTTTTTCAATTCAAAATGTCAGAATTGGCGTTGAGTTCCAAACTTTATAGAACAGCCCAAACAAAGCCTGGTTTTAGTTGAAGTTAATATTTTGAAAGCAATAAAAAGGGTGATCATCAAGAATATTTTGCTCTCCAAGTGTGTAGCTGTGTACGAAAGAGGATTAGGGCCACTGGAAAAAGAAAGTTAACCGATTTTTAAATATTATTTTAGTTTAATATGTGAAAAAAAACAATTCTGATTTTAATCTCAGAATTCAGATTTTTTTCTCAGAAATCTGACTTTAACTTCAGAATATTTTTTTTCCCCTCAGAATTCTGACTTTAATCTGAGAATTCTGACTTTTTTCTCTCAGAATTCTGACTTTAATCTCAGAATGATGACATTTTTCTTAGAATTCTGACTTTAATCTCAGAATTCAGATTTTTTTTCTTGATTTTTTTTTTCTCAAATTCAAGAATATTCTGTTCTTCAAGTGTGTAGCTGTGTACGAGAGAGGCTTAGGGCCACTGGGAAAAAAAAGTTAACCTATTTTTAAATATTATTTTAGTTTAATATAGGAAAAAATACTTTTTTTTCTCAGAATTCTTACTTTAATCTCAGAATTCTGATTTTTTTTTTCTCAGAGTTCTAACTTTCCCATATTAAACTGAAATAATATTTAAAAATCAGTTAACTTTTTTTTTTTCAGTGGCCCTAAGCCTCTTCGGTAGCGGTGGGCCTTTGCCATGATTGAGTGGTTTTAATGTTGACAGTAGTGACGACGAGGAGGGAAATGTCCACTAGATGTCGCTGTTTTTCCATCTACAACTTAGACACCATCAGTTTTTTTTTTTTTTCCCTCAAGATCTCGAGAATAAACATTTCAGGTCCCTATAAATATGTGAATGAATGTGGGTGGTAATCTGAATATTAATTAGGCAGCGCAGAAAGATTACATTTTGAATTAGGATTATATTATTTTGTGGAAGAATCTCAAAAAATTCATGAAATAAGTTTCTAATGTAAAGTTTGTTAAATCTGACCATTATTATACTTTTTCCCACCCAGTAAAGTCCTATTTGAAGCTGATATTTTGTGCGGACGGGATCTCTTGACCTGGATCAGAGGGACCACCGCGTCACCGAGGTGGGCGTGGCCAACCCTGAGGAATAACGCCTGTGTTCTCCTCTACGTTGCAGTCTGAGCTGCAGCTTGACTCACAGCAAGTGTAGCAGAGCTGGAGCGCTGAGCAGCTGTGTGTGGATCCGGCTGATGGGGACCAAGCAGATATTTTATGGACTCTATTAACTCTTTTTTCCGCTTCTTGTTCTGCATCTTTAAGGCTCCTCCGCAGCGATTCTTCAAACTGCGGCTCTCCAACTATGGATTGCCTAATTGAAGTTGGGCCACCTGATCCGGTTTGCGCCAGGGCATTCCCGTGATATTATCCGAAGCAGAGAAGTCGTTAGAAGCTGTTGTGAAAGCGGAGGATTTCCTGCGCAAAGAGGCTCAATTTCATCCTTTTAGTTTGTGCGTAACGGACAATGATGCAAAGGATCTATTAGAAACAGTCGGAACCATGTTCTAGCAGACACACAGAAACTATTTAGAAAGTGCAGCGAGTTTGTTATAGCGTTTATTTTTTATTTTTTTTTTGTATTTCTAAGACGCACAGAGCGGTTGCGTATCATCCAGTAGTTTTTATCCGCCGCGGCCACAGCGCCTGTATCTCAGCTCAGCTTTTCCATTTTTCTTTTTAAATATCCCTACAAAACTGCATCTATGGCTTTGCCGGACAGTGGTTTATGTGGGGAGGAGGTCCCTTTCCCAGAGATCATAGAGCTGAACGTTGGCGGCCAGGTGTACATAACGCGCTACTCTACCCTCACCAGTGTGCCAGACTCTCTGCTGTGGGAGATGTTCAGTCAGAAGTCATCCAAGGGGCTGGCGAGGGACACCAAGGGGCGTTTCTTTGTGGACCGCGATGGTTTTCTGTTCCGCTACATTCTGGACTACATGCGGGACCAGCAGCTGGTTCTACCGGACCACTTCCCGGAGCGCGGGCGCCTGCAGCGGGAGGCTGAGTTTTTCCACCTGCCGGAGCTCGTTAAGCAGCTGGCGCCCAAAATAAGCAAGCAGAACTCACTGGGAGACGAGGGCTGCCCCAGCGACCCGGAGGACTCCTCACCTGGGATCGACTCAGCGCGCAGCCTGGGGTCCCTGGGGGCCGCGGCCGCCGCGTGCGCCAGCCTGGTCCCCAGCGCCATGGACGGGAAGCGCTCTGGGTTCATCACCATTGGCTACCGGGGCTCCTACACTCTTGGCCGCGACAGCCACACCGATGCCAAGTTCCGGCGGGTGGCTCGGATCATGGTGTGCGGGAAGACCTCTCTGGCCAAAGAGGTGTTCGGGGAGACCCTAAACGAGAGCCGTGACCCAGACCGCCCCCCTGAGCGCTACACCTCCCGCTACTACCTGAAGTTCACCTTTCTGGAGCAGGCCTTTGACAAGCTGGCAGACGCAGGCTTCCACATGGTGGCCTGTAACTCCACAGGAACCTGCGCCTTTGCCCACGAGCAGACAGACGACAAGATCTGGACCAGCTACACTGAATATGTGTTCTACCGTGAGTGACATCAGCGGCTTTATTCCCCTGGCCCCCCTCCACCCTGCCTCCAACAGACCCCCCCTCTCCTCCAGCCATCCCCTCTCTGATGGCTTTGGTCCAGTAGATGTACAGTGCTAGATGTTGTGTCCCCCCCCCCCCCACCCTACCACTTCATTTTACTTTGCAGCTTCCAGCTCTTATCCTTTGAACAGTTCCCAGCTGCCGCTCTGAATCTTCACCCCCCTTATTCCTGCGACTCCAATCCTTCAAACCCAAATCCATCCTCAGGTCCAGCTTTATGCCCTCTTCCATCGCCTGCTCATCTAGTTATAGTCCCCAAAAACTCAGCCGCAGCAATCCCCCACCCCTGTCTGCTCAGACTGATACCTTCTATGTATTCTCTTTTGTATCCCTCATTTGAATATATGTTCCATTTGTCCTGGTGAAGCACAACGACGTATCCAACAGCCAATTTCTTTCTTAAAAAACGTGCCCTGAGTGTGCCTATGTGACTATTAAACTCAGTCATAGGGGGGTTCAAATAAAAGGGCTGAATGAGTTGTAGTCATGCACAAAGCTTACTCAAGCAGATCGGACTCTCTGCAGCTTCTCAGAACTAAATAACCAAATAATTGGACATCCTATCAGCCTAGAGGGACATGAGCATCCCCAGCTCAAGATAGGAGTGTAATCTAATTTCCTTCGTTTTAAGAAAAATATTATTTCATCAAATGTTTCTGGTATTGTTTGGTTGGGGAATGTGCTCTTGTCAATCTGCATTTTTTTTCTTTTTTTTTTTATGGAAGAGGTTTTCTATAACATTGCAGACTAAAGTAGAAAGCTGATTGTGTGGAGTTTATATGTCAGAAGGAGGCAAATATAGAAGCAAAGAAAAAGTTTAAATAGAAAAAAAACATATAGAATAAGAAGCATTTATTAACTGTTTGATTGATTGAAGATATTTACAGAGATTAGAGGAAACAAATGTATTAATTTTGTTCTCTAAAATGTATTTAATTCAACATTAAAGAGATTTTTTTTTCTATATATATATAATAATATCTGGTACACCGCCGCTTCCTGCTTTACCCCCCCTCTGAGCTGGCTGTGTTTTGAGAAAAAACATTGATATTCTCAATAATCGGTTCAGTATTATTTGGTGGTTCTGCATATTTGATGATGGGGCTCGCTTACTGTAAGCGAAAGCCCAGTAGAGAGGGTAGGATTACCCTGAAGGCAGACAAAGCCAATTGTCGTCTCACCACAGTAGCAATGGTTGCTGTAAATACAGCTTTGATGAGCGGAGTACGACTTAAAGGATAGTTCTGTTTCTTAAGAGAGGTTCTATTAAATTTAAAAATCTCTTTTTGTTTGAATTTAACTTGAATCCAGATTAATTTCTCCTGGAGGCTGAAGCCAACAGTAAGACCAGAGCAGACTTCTACATAATGCACAAAAATTTGTTTTCTGAGCCTTTAAACTCTGGACAGAGACATGGGAAACAGAAGGAGGCGCATCACCGCTAAATTTGCAGGAAAATATAAAGAACGGATCATGTACGGTTTTAGATCAGAATAACTGCCTGAAATGAAAGAATAGGCATAGGAATAAAAAAAAAAAGATTTCTGTGTACTTTTCCTTCATTGTCTTGAAGCATTTGATTCGGTATGTGGAAGAAAAATATATGCTACCATATGCTACCTCTATTTCTGTGTAATTATCATCTGCTTTTTGTAAACTTACCCAGATCGAAGGGGACAACAATTAAAAGGTTTATGAAATAGTTTACGCATAAACTGTCAACATATTTTAGAAAATATAGTTTAGGGAACCTGGAAGAATCCACTTCGGTTTTGGCCCCTCTTAGATCAGCCATTACCTTTAGCCTTTGGGTCCAGCTCTTTTTGAGTAATGCGAACTGAAGAACCAAGAAAGTTACCTATTTAGTCTAAGTTAAGCTTTATTACCCATTGATAAACTTTTAACGGGACCACACTTTAGGAATCTTTAACTATCTTTTTAAATTGTAACACTAGGGCATCAGATTTAGCATCAGGACTAAAACACTTAAAGCAACTGATTATATAAAAGATGTCCAAGGGTTCTGCTCAGTGGATGTTCCAGGACACTAGTGACCTAGAATTAATAACAGCATTGTGTTTCAGTGTGATGAGGTGTTTTGGACCCTGTAGTCAGTGTGTTAAACCTGTTGCCGTGTGTAGCTTACATTGGGAATCACTAGAAAGAAAAGTGATTCATTGAATATAACTGGTTTATTTTTTCTTCAAAACAAACTACAAAAATTAACAGAGTGCTGTCTGAGAGTGTAAAGGCCACCTGCACCTCTGTTAATTTATTCAGTCATTAAAATGTTGCTCAGTCATAAAATAAACCGAATTTCTACTTAGCGTTCCTCAATAAAACAAATCTTTTTGGAAGGGAGCCCTACATCTCATTAAATGTTTAACTATCTCCCCTCAGGCTTCGGTTTCCATAGATCCATCTGTTTTCTCTTGTTTTATTTAAATTTTTTTGTTTGCGCATGTTTTTTTCCCGCTCCATTTTGTTTTTCTCAGCTTGGTCTCATCGAGGACTTGCATAGGAGACGAGCAGATTACAAAACCCTTGTTTCGTGGCCAATAATTGACCCACTTACAACACACGGTCCAAACTGTGAAGACGACTGGATTCAGAGTTCAGGCACTGGGGAACCTGTGTGTATTTAAGGCTTCCTGCCATGCAATGGTTTACCCCTATCTGCAGAATCTAAACAGATTTTATCTCCAGTATTTTTGCCAGAGAGCTTTCACAGATAGCAAAGATTAGGCTTCAGCAACAAATGTCATTTCATGAACTCTTATTTTCCTTTTCATCTAGACATGATTAATGCCAATTATTTCAGCACAATACCTGTAAATTAATCTCAGTGTGGCCTAGATAAACACATTGCTGATGAGCCCCAATAAAGTTGTGAGGAAGAAGAAGAAGTGGTCCCCTTCGGGGCTAACAGATGATTTTTGAATGAGGCCAAATTTTGTCCTCAGAGAAGAGGACAGGACAGCAAACAAACACAGCCGCAGGCAACATTCCTCTAGCACCCATCCTCTGCATGCTATGGCAACAATGGAGTACCAGGGTCAGTTATTAGCACACGCATGGAAAGACGGGCCCCTAGCGTTAAATTCTAGGCGCCGCCGTCCGTCTTTACCTCCAAGAACAGCCTCGAGGTTCAACATTCAACAGGACTGTGGGGAGTGTCTGCGCTTACAAGTTAAACAGTGATGTACACAGGGCCACACTGTGATGATGAACTGCTTTTCTTTTTCCAACACTGTTGTGAAACGTTCCTGAAAACTGAAAGATGCCTGCTTGTCTGCAGTACAGGAAGCAGGTTCGCTTTGTGTTTATCCAGTGTCACAATAAAGACATTTTACAATGACAGCCGGCTTCTCTGTCTCTCTAAAATAACAAATGACAGAATAAAATGTACTATTGACGGTGTTTATGAAAAAAAGAAAGACATTGTGCAGCACTTTTAAAAAGCTTTCATATCGCTTTAACCTTTTCATATTTTGTTACTTTATAAACAGGATTTTTTTTTTATTAAACAAGTATAAAGATCATTGCTTTTATTTAGTTTTGCAGATTAATGTGCCATTCCACTTGTGCTCTGGCTTTATGTTTGGGGTTGTTTCCGGCTGGACAGTGACCCCCCCAGGGCTTGGTGACAAACTGCAAACAGACCTCTTGTGGCTGTCTTTCAAATGTAAACCGATTCAGCTGTGGATTTCTGTTTATTCCTGTAGATCTTCCATCATTCTTGGGTAAAAAGTCACATCTTGGTAGGTTTACATTTGTCACATCTTCCTATATTCCTTAGACTCAGAGATGCTCAAAGTTTAAAATGTGACTTAATGTCTGCTTTATTCCTTGCTCTTTGTGATGCTTTTGAAAAATGTCCTCTAATAAAACGTCCAAGGCCTTAAACGAGCAACTGGACTTATCCTGATATTAAATTGCACTCATTTGGAGTCAATTCAACACATTTAACACTGAATTCACTTTTCTGTGTTGCCTTTTATTGAAGGGTATCAGGAAAAAAAAGGTGAATACAAATGTGCACCACTGTTTATATTTTTATTGGTAAAATATTGTCTTTTTTTCCTTTACCTATGTTCTACATTAAGCGTATTTCATAAAATATTATAATAAAGAGGGAAAACATTCAGTGGGTGTTAAGACATTTTGAAAGCAATGTAAGACAATTTTGTTTTAGTCTGTTTTTGTGATCAAACCAATCGTCGCTGCAGGCAGCTTCACTCCTTTCATCTCAGACGGATTCTCTATTAGCCAGCTGGGTCATTTCTCCTGTGTTTGGGAAATGAAAGGATGGTAGAGGAGGAGAACAGCGAGGCATGCACATGCCTCAAAGGAAAGGATGGGGGGGAAAATGGGACAAGGCGAATTGGAATACTTGGGTTGAAGTGAAAGAAATCTGGAAGGCTATTTAACTGTCAAAGATTTGCTGCTCCCAGCTGATCTCTCTTCTTCAATAGCTCCAGCATTAGCTGTCCTTTTGTTTAGAGACTGTCAGGATTGTACTGATAAAGTCCTCACAGGACGGTGCTACAATGGGCTTCTTTGCTGTTTACCACTTTAGTCCCGGTTCAGAGATTCTTTTACCAACAACACATGACACACTATCAGCTAGAGCCGGGGTCAGGGGTCGCAACCATTGTGATGTTATTCCTGAGGTATACGAGGGGCGTTCAATAAGTAATGCCCCGGACCCACTTCCAGATGTTTGATCGACCTGAAATTTTGCATGTGAAATCATTTAAATCTCTATAGATTAAATATCAAATTACAGCTCTGAACTAATTTTGGTTTCTGACTTACAGGTGTTCAAACTGAGTCAAGTCTGTGTTTTTGCATTTGAAAGGACGCACCCAACAGGAGACGTTTGATCAAATGAAAGTAACTTATTGTGGTAATGTCCCATAATATAACCTTGTAAA